CGTCATAAATATGGACCAGTTGCCAAGCATTTGCATTTTGGTCACATGACCGTGGGGGTGCTATGAGGGTCATAAGTGTGAAAAATGGTCATAAATACTTTTCTCAGTGTCGTAATTTTGAACAGTCACTAAATGAATTGTTGTAAGTCAAGGACTACCCGTATTTCCTGAGTAATTTAAAATATTACTAATCTAAAACTGTTGGGTATTCTAGAAAAGGACGGTTTTTAACTTGCTTTCTTTTTTAAAAAAAAGCTTGTGATAGATGAACGAAAGAAAGAGAGGTTTCCACAGTTAGAAGATCACTATTCTAAAACCCTCATCTGTTAATTGCTTTGTTTCCACAAAGAAAGGATGAGTTTCAAAGAATCTGATTTCTAATAATAATCTTAGCAATTGGACAGATTCAGACAAGAAATCTTGCCAGTCACTTAAACAATATGGAAAGGTTGCACTCAAATTATATTCAGAAGTAATGTCCCAAAGGTGCTTTATTTTAAAGGGAACTGGACTTCCTGATTTTTCTTCAAGACATTCAAACATTCAGAACTGAAGAAGCTTCTTGAATGAGAAGCAAAAAGTCTTAAAAGAAAAATCAGAAAGTCCGGTTGTCTTTAAAATAAAAGCACCTTTGTGACAACCATAATTTGCATGAATGAGAACTTCCACAGACCCTCAAAAATAATATAAATTTGAATGGGTGAGTGCGTGCGTGTGAACCTGTATGAATGAGAATTTTCATAGGCGCATAAAAATAAAAGCATCTGTTTGTAAATTTAAGTGCATTTAGTTCTTTCATCTGAACCAGGGTGCTTTGCTTGGTTTGCCTGCACAAGCTAACATTGCAACCTGTTCAGGTAGCCCAAAGATATAGCCTTTCGTTTGTATTCTTCACTTCAATGGCATCTGCATATAAACTTATGTGCAGTTAGTTTGTTTTTAAAATTCAAGCCAGGAAGTATTGTGCTTTCCTTGCCTTGTTCCAGCAAGCTAAGATTGCTATCTGTTGTTCGGGTAACCTTAATTAAACCTTAATTACAGTTTTGGTTTATGCAGAGTGTCAGACTGCTATTTTATGCATGTATGGATTAGCCCTGTGTCTAAATCATGTCACATGCAGTCCATACAACTGGTATTGAAATGTAGATGTTGAGTCAATTTATCTTCCTAATGATGAATATATGTGTGTCTCTTTGGTGTCAGGACAAGGATCCAATTTCACTGTCTTTTAAAGTCGAAATATAACTACACAAAGCCATAGAATACAAGCAATTTTGGAAGTTTTCTGGGGAGTAAAGAACACTTCCAAGACAGACAGACTTGGAAGACAGACAGACTTCACTGACTGACTGATAGATTATTAGACAAATGATAGGCAGGTTGGTATCTAAGTAGATAGATACTATAGATCAGGGGTGTCAAACTGACGGCCTGCAGGCCGGATGCGTCACATGCAGGCCACACCCACCCCAGCTCAGCGAATGGGGAAAATGTTGCAAAATGTCACGTGACATTTTGTCACATGACACAGTTTGACACCTGTGTTGTAGATGGAGGGAGATTTGTGGAAAGAGCTGGATTATTTTCTTCTAGTAAGTAACGATACTACTGTTCTTTAATAAGACTTTCCTAATCAAGAAGGGTATGCATATATAACATGGCTAAGCACATTTATTGTGTGCATAACTGGATCAACATTTCCAAAGCACATTTGTAAACCTTGATAGGCTCTTGATTGTCATCATCTGTAGCTTTAAGGAGATACGTGGGAGGGATTTGAGATTCCACTGGGGAATAACTGATGCTTAGAGCGGGTGCATTACTAATTTTTTTAGTCAAAAACACACTTTTATATTAAGTGGTTCATCAGGTTCAAATCTACTTAGCTTATACAGCCCCAGTCTCTTTTCATCCTGCACTTAACACAGCTGCAATACAGATGTAACTTGTTTCAGAGCTGGGTGCAAAACTCAGTCCAGCTATTTTGTTGACTTTATCAGTAACCTATTTTTAAAACATTACAATACACAGTTAAGCGTGAAAACAGCCCACAGGGGAAGAGAAGGGGCAAGGAAGAAAGAAACAATAGAAAAGAACCTTTGAGGCAATTTATATTTTTTTGCCAATTTGGTCTAATAGTTGAAGGATCAGGCTAGAAGCTAGGAGACTGTGAGTTCTAGTCCTGCCTTGGGCATCAAGACAGCTGGGTCTTTAGTCACCAGTCACTCTCTCTTAGCCCTAGGAAAGAGGCAATGGCAATCCACTTCTGAAAATCCTTGCCAAGGAAACTGCAGGGACAATCCAGGCCGTCACTAGAAGTCAGAAGGCACAAAGCAAAACAAATATTTATCTGCAGCTCACTTGTCCTGGTAGTCAAAAACTTAAAACTTATTTTCCAAAGCACCTGAGAGCAAGACAAGAAATAACAGATGAAATCTTAATGAAGAGAGATCCAATCTAAAATTAAGGAGAAATTTTCTGACAGTGAGAACAATTAATCCGTAGAATGGCTTGCCTCCAGAAGTTGTGGGTGCTCCACCACTGGATGTTTTCAAGAAGAGATTGGACAGTCATTCATTCAGAATAGTATAGCATCTCCTGCTTGGGCAGAGGGTTCGACTAGAAGACCTCCAAGATCCTTTCCAACTCTGTTATTCCATAATTCTGCAATTCACAATGGTGTGCTGATCACTTCTCGTCCAGAGACAATACATTTTGCCTCAATACCAGCATTGCATGGGGAAACTTGATGTGGATATAAGTGGCAGACTTCGTGCTAGACCCAGCAATACGACTCAGGTCTCCAGACACCTAACCTATATTCAGAAATGAGCTTCTTGCCAGAATACTCCCCAGATATGACAAGATTGGTTTCTTTATTGCAAGAATAGAGCAACATGCACTAAAATATTTGCCGCTTTAGTGCACACACCAATCAAAGCCTATATATATGATCCGTGCTCCAGAAATAAAATTCTACGCTTTTTTTTCTTCCACATTTCCAAATGGACAATTAAGTGACCAAGGCTGTGGGGTGGGAGACAGCTACATTATGACATAGTTGTTCTCTTCAGCCTGGGAATTGCAAGTTCCTGTCTCAACAGCTTTATTTCTAATAGTAACTCCGCAATTATGAGACCTTGTTATACAGCTGACATATTACTGTTGGCTGTTAACAATCAGTTTCATAGTATTAATTCTCCATGCAGTCTGGTCCTCAGAAATAGCCATCAATTTTTGCTTATTCATTCTTGTATGCCTCAAAGCCATGCATTTTGGAAGTGGAGTTCAGAACATAACTTAAATGTACTATTAACCAAGAGTCCCAGAGTTTAGAAGTCAATTGATTCTTTCCTACTCTGTTAGTGACATGAAGGTGGATATATTTTATATCTTGAATTACACCTAGGTGTTGTATTTGAATGGTGTTGAATACTCTTGAGCCTCATAATTCTGGGACATAAGCTCCAAGTAGCTGCAGAAAAGGGTTGGGGAGGGATTTTTATAAATATTTTACAGAGGGTTGGACTAGAAGACCTCCGAGGTCCCTTCCAGCCCTATGGTTCTCTGAACTTCTATGACCAGCTATCTCATCTACCAATTTATCACTCAGCATAGTTAACATAATAGTTAGCATTAGCGATCTGAGTACAAATTGGGTAATCCTCGATTTACGACCACAATTGAGCCCAACATTTCTGTTACTAAGTGAGACATTTGTTAAGTGAGTTTTGCTCCATTTTACAACCCTTTCTTGTCACAGTTGTTAGGTGAATGACTGTAGTTGTTAAATTAGTAACACAATTGTTAAGTGAATCTGGCTTCCCCATTGACTTTGCTTATCTAATGGTCGCAAAAGGGGATCACATGGCCCCGAGATACTGTAATTGTCACAGATACTTGCCAGTTGTCAAGCATCCAAATTTTGATCATGTGAACTTGGGGATTCTGCAGCAGTCGTAAATTTGAAAAATGGTCATAAGTCCCTTTCTTGGTGCCATTGTAACTTTGAACACTCATTAAATGAATGGTTGTATGTTGAGGATTGCTTGTATAAAACTGTTTTGATGAGTATTCTGAACCAGTTTTGGAAAAGACGTGCCTTTTCTAAAGCAGTTGAGAAAAAAGTTGAATTTTCATATGTAATGTTATTCTAAGTAAGAATCTTACATATGTTAGCATTATCAAACTGTCGATGCTTTGGATTTATTTTTGATCCAGAATATCTTCATATTTTTATTCCCATCTTTCTAGGCACATTTAACTTCTTTGAATCACCACCAGGCACAAGAAAAATAGTATCTCATTAAAAATAAAAACAACTTGGACCTTCCTTAAAAAAGAAACCTGAAAAGCACCATTGGTCCAAAGTAATTTGTACCAGTTGTATTTGAATCTCTCAGCAATGCCTCTAAAGTAAACTCACAAAAATCTTCTCTTCCTTTTGTGCTTCATAGCTGTGTGCCTGGTGACCTAGCATTTGAATGTGTCTCTAACTGCTGGAGTAGTCAAGAAGAGCTCAGGGGGGGGGAGGGAACCCTTTCCTGAATGTCTGGATCCACTGATTTCTCCTGGCTTCTTGCAATAAAGTTAATCTTGTCATTGTGTTTGTAAGTATGCTCTAATCCTGTGACCAGCTGCTTCTCCTGAGCATTGAATTCAGCGGCTTCAGCCAGTGTGTCACATGTCATCACTTTTGACAGTGGAAACGAAGCAGATAACGTTTGCAACGGAGACTTTAGATTTGAGCTGCCATGAGTACCATAAGAGACTTTAAATGGTTCCATTCCTCTCCCAAAACATCCAGAATGAGAAATAGGTGTCTTGGTCCTGAGTTTTCCCATTCAAGGAAGCTAAACTGAGGTGCTTTTAAAGAAAAAAACCACCCAATCCAATAATAATCATGCAAACTCAAAAGAGTTTTATATTTCTAACGATCTTTGTTTTGTTTTCTTATTTTTTTTTTTTAATGTACTAATAAAACTGCCGGTTTCTTTCAGGTGGGTGTACATGGCATTAGAATAGAATTCATCAACGAAAAAGGATCAAAACGCACGGCCACCTACTTACCCGAGGTTGCAAAGGAGCAAGGTCATTGTTGCGCTTTATCTCATATGATCTGGTGAAGAATTTAAAACATGCCTAGGAACTTATAATGCAGTTTTTGACCTTGCCCTGATGTCAGATGATGGAGCGGTCCTTTGATTGTAAGGGATGACTCTTTTAAATGCCACTTACACACTTGTAGAATGCAGATCCCTGGTTCAGAGCACTTCCCTAGATTAAAGGGATCCAGACATAGGCAGCAGTGGGACAAACATTGGTGAGAGACAGCGGGCAAAATAATCCATCCAGATATAATGAGAGAAAACTCCAGACACCAGCTGTGCAGAAAGCTCTTTTTAAGGGCCACTGTCACCATTTATGAAAGCAGTTCAGGGCTTTGTTTTGCTTTTTAAATCCTCTTACCCAACTGCTTCTGGCCCAAGAGTGCTTTTTCAAGAGGCAAACTGTTTTCCTTTGATGATATTTCGCTTCTCATCCAAGAAGCTTCGTCAGTTCTGACTGAATGGTGGGAGAGCATAGAAGGATTTATATTCTTGCAGTCATCTGGTTGTTAGCACTTTGTCTGAGAGCCGTTGAGGCCACTTGGGGGGGTTTATCTGTGCCCTCTGGGTCACCTGAATGAGAGTGCAAATGAGTGTGAAATGTTGGAACTGCCGGAAGGACTGTGTTGTAGACAGGAGAGAGGTGGTGTCATATGCCTCCCCCTCTGCTGACAGAGGGCTGCTCAATTTACACTCCGACCCTACGGGCACAGATAAAACCCCACGTGGTCTCAATGACTCTCAGAGAGAGTGCTAATGACCAGATGACTGCAAGGAATATAAATCCTTCTACTCCCTCCCACCGTTGTCAGAACTGAAGAAGAATCTTAGATGAGAAGCAAAACTTCTTCAAGGAAAAGCAAAGTCCAGTTGCCTCTTGAAAAAGCATCTTTGGGACAACCATGACCTGGATGACTGTGAGTCTTCTGACATGTCTTTTAGATACACCCCTAAGATGGGTTATTGAGATAATTCTCTGAAAAAAGGATATCAGACTAGTCAAAGAAATAGAATTGGCCCTATCGAGTATAATCTCGCTCATAAAATTGACTTCAGGTTTTTTGAAGTATCCCTAAGACCCCTTGTAGGAATGGAAAAGGACTGACACGATGGGCACCACCTAAATGCCAGGCCTCCAACTGAAAGCTATCGCTAGCCAACATTTTCCATGGTCACAGTTCAGAGGGTAACACTTTGTTTCAATAAGCAGCATAAGTGCTAGTAAAATTTTCACTAGTAGGAAATTGGATTTTAAAAAAAAAGACTAGAAATTATATATTTGTCAGGGTTTCGGTGCTGTGAAAGTGCACAGAATCTCCTGCTTATAATTTGGAAACGTTGCATGGATGTTATCGTTGATATGATATGTATGACAAAGTGCAGGCGGTCCTAGACTTATGACCACAATTGGGCCCAAAATCTCCATTGTTAAGTGAGACAGTTGTTAAGTGCGCTTTGCCCCATTTTACAACCTTTCTTGCCGCAGTTGTTAGGTTAGTAGCACGGTTGTTAAGTGAATCTGGCTTCCCCATTGACTTTGCTGATCAGAGGGTTGCGAAACGTGATCACATGACCCTGGGACACTGCAACCGTCATAAATATGAGTCGGTTGCCAAGTATCTGAATTTTGATCATGTGACCATGGAGATGCTGTGATGGTTCTAAGTGTGAAAAACGGTCATAAAACACTTTTTTCAGTGCCATTGTAACTTTGAATGGTCCCTAAGCAAATTGTTGTAAATCCAGGGCTATCTGTAGTTAATCCTGTTGCGTTGCCATTGCTCTCAAAACCTTTGTACAAGCAGGAACCAAGCAAGTTTGTTGGGTTGCATAGTCCTGGGGTCATCTCCTGTAATAAAACGTAAATATTTGACCTTTGCGCTGTAAAGTAGATTTCATTTCATGTCTTTCATGTTGGCTTGTTCTAAACTATCATGATTTGGGATATTGATTGGAATATAAATAACAAAAAAGAAATAACAATTTACCTTTGATTCCGCCTTTCTGTTATTCCAGAAAAAGGGATCAAGAGATCTAAACAAAAGCAAGATTTCCCAGTAAAAAACACGGCTGATTGAAAATCAGAAGGGTTCTGATAGTCCCTTTTCTGACCAACAAGTTTTATTAAAAGGCATGTTAGGCTCAAAAGAGGCTACCAGAAACCAGACCTTTTTTTTTTTTTTTGCTGCTGTACATTAACATGGCATTGTCCTACTAAGTCTGCAACACACAGCACTATGGATAATTAAGAATTTTAATTTAGTTTATCCTGCACACAATTTGGTCCCCAAACCTAGCCTTGGTGTGTTGTAGAACTTGTTGAACACCAGGTTCCATCATCCTCAGTGAGCCCCAGGTTAGGGATTAGCCATTGTGTTACACTGCTTCTCATAACTGAACACAACACTGATAATAAGGTAACATTGTTTATTTGGGATTATTCCTAGTCTTATGTTGTTTTGGAATTGTTCAGCTTTAACCAGCTTACCTGTGGGAATTCCCCCTAGAAATACAAATTTCTGCACAATTTGTATTCTTTGCAATCAGTTAAACCTTTTGCAAAACTTTGAGAGCTGATTTTCTTTGTGTGTTCTCTTCTAATGACTCCACAGGCTGGGACCATATTCAGACTATAGATTCCTTATTGAGGAAAGGAGGTTATAAGGCTCCAATCACAAACGATTTCAGGAAAACAATAAAACTGACCAGGTAAGAAGTCCTGTTCCTGGGTTTTGCTGGGGTTCTTTGCAGGATCTTAGCTGTTCCTATCCCTGCACTCTTCTGGATGGAGAGCTCTGATGTCATTCCTGGGAACTGTTGGAGCCCCTGTCCCAGCTTAAGAGTCATGGCCCTATCACTTTGGTCTTGACTGTCCATATCCATTCCAGTTCTGGCTTCTCCATGGTGGCTCCATCCCTGTGGAGCATCATTCCTGCAAAAATAAGATTGGCCCCTCTTTGACACTAAGGCCCTGGAAAGCTGGTTTGGCCAGAGAGTCTGGGGGCCTCAAGGTGATACCAAGCCCACCAAGTAGTTGGTTTTATTGTTGGGGATGGGGGTGAGTTGTTATTAGGTTTTGTATGGGTTTTTACCTCTGTAAACCGCCCAGAGTCACCATGAGTGAGTTGGGCAACCAACATAAATTTTCTTAATAAGTAAGTAAGAGACAATGAGAGTTGAAGCCTGGACAGAAATGAGTTTTGGGAAGTTATATCTTAACCAAGTAAGTCTTCCTAGTCTTAATTCTGTTGAATTTTTCTTGTTCTTCTGGTTTTCCTTTAATGCTTAAACCAGGCATATCTAATCCGCAAGCTTTATGCGGCCCTGGACAGCTAGTCATGCAGCCCTACAAGATACAATAAAAATATTTTAAAAATCAAGGCAATTTGTTATTTATATACATTAACTATATTAAATATTTCCTATGCAGCCCAAGACAATTCCTCTTCACTCAGGGAGGCCCAGGCAAGCCAAAGATCAGATGCCCATGTCTTAAATTGAACAGAATAATGGAACAGGAAGAGACCTTGGAGTCTTCAAATTTTTCCTGCTTTAGCATAGCATTAGCAATAGCACTTAGATTTACATACTATCCCATAGTGCTTTACAGCATTCTCTGGACGGTTTACAGAGTATTACCCCCAACAATTTGGGTCCTCATTTTACCGGCCTAGGAAGGATGGAAGGCTGAGTTAATTTGAGCTAGTCAGGATCGAACTCTGGGCAGTGGGCAGAGTTAGCCTGCAATACTGTATGCGAACCACTGCACCACCAAAGGCTTCAGGAGATTAAACTTGTCCCTTTTTTCCCCTTTAACTCCCCCTCCCCCCCTTCTCTCTTTATCCCTTTTTCTCCCCACTTTACTTTTAGGTATCGTAGTGAGAAGATGACCGTCAGCTACACAGAATACCTTGCCCACCGACAGCATCACCACTTCCAAAACGGCATCGGGCACACCCTCCCCCCCCTACAACCATTATTCCTGACACTGAGCCGTATGACCAGTCTCTGGACTTTTCTGCAAACCTCTTCCCAGGAGAACCCCCTCCTTCTTGGTCTAGCTATCTCTATTACTGTACCATTTTATGATGATAATTTCCGTTGCCATGTTGACGCTTCTCTGCCTCAGGTTAAGCTCACCATGGCAACGGGTGGAAACGCTGCATCGTTACAAAGAACCCCTTCGCTCTTTTCTCTCCCTCCCAAACACCTTTTTTTTTAATGAGTCACTGTGGACTGGCTGGGTTTTATTTCCTTTTTTTTTCTTTGTCATGACAACATAAAAAAACCTGGTCCTTTTTAAAAAAAAAAACATTTTAAAGTTCTACTTCATTTATCACTCAATTGTATTGATCACCTTTTTCTGTGAAACTGTAGATGGAAGGAAAGAATGCAAATGTGTCAAGATAGAGAAAAATGAAATATAATAGTCTGCTCTTAAAATCATAAAATATTGGATCCCAAGTCAGAAGCAAGATAAAGATTGCCTTGAATAGGATGAATTCTTCAGCAGTTCCCAAAATAAAACTTGTAAGAGACTACGCGAACCTCTGGTTCCTGGTCTGGTTGGCCCAGTCAAATAATAGTAATAAGCTGAATTAATTATGATGAGAAACAAATTGTAATTTTGGTTAGTACCAGGAATGTCCAACCTTGGCAACTCCCAGAATTCCCCAGCCAGCATAGACTTCAACTCCCAGTTAATCCCCAGATAATATGGGTGGCTGGGTAATTCTGGGAGTTGAAGTCCACAAGTCTTAAAATCACCAAGGTTGGACACTCCTGGTTTAGACATAATCGTAGCAAGACTTTTATTACAGACCTGGATTGAGATCCTGGTTCGAATCCTTTCAAATTGCCCATTCAAATCACTGGAACTAAAAATGGGCAGATAGTCTGTGTCTCCCTACTCCAGTTCCTAAATCTGTCTTCAGGTGGATAGTGTGATCTGCCAAGCTCTATCCTCCATCAGCAAATTGACAAACAGAACCAATCAGAGTCACTCCAAGATTCTCTTTCACTTCTCAGATGTTTCTTACGGAGTCTTAATCAGGAGGAGCAGCTTGAAGAAACTGCTGTATTAGGAAGTCAGCAAATTTTGGTATTAGTGCCTTAGGGGACACAAGTTTTGGGAAGGAAGGTAAGACAGCAGAAGCACAAGAGGAGATACCTATTCCAAATTCTAAACTTTCCAGGCAGGTGAAAAATGTTATTTGGAGAGCAGGATCCAATTTTTGTCTCCTACCTTACAAGGCTTGCCCCTGTATAAATTAGCCATTCTTGATGGCACAATTTTTGGTGCTTTTGTTGATGAAATGAAAACCAAAGTAGGTGCACTGAAACAAAGAAAGAAAGAAAAGAGAAAAAGAAAAGCCCACTGATTTTTAGAAAAATCCTAAAGGTTAGTAATTTTAAATTAAAAATCTAATAGCAGTTACTTTTTTTTTTATTAACCTGCAATGCAGCGCTAGAAATATTTTTGGATAGTAGACAAGTTAGCAGAATCAAAATTGTTACCATCTCGGGGTGGAAGTAGCAGAAGTAGCTCGTCCTAACCGACCTTGAATTCTAAGAAGGGCTTTCAGAGTTCTCGTTTCAGGTGGTTCCTGAACTCGTACAAATTTTAATGAAATAGATCTCAGAGCTCTATTCCACAGATCCTTCTTGGTAATTAGAAGAACATCTTAGAGGAAGCAGATACCATTTTGGCAGAAGTCCATGTCGCCCCCCCCCCCCCCACATTTCATCCCATTTAGGGATGCGATCTTCATAGACATAGACTACCATAATAACCAACAGGAAACCGTATCACAGGCCCTGAAGTATTGTTGAAAGAATTGACTACGATCCCAGATGGGGAAGCGAGGAGAAAGTCTTTCCTTCGATCCACAGTATTTGAACGTCTGAATATTAACTTTCTGTTTCGATGCCTTAATTTTCAAATAAGTAAAAATCCTGAAAAAAAGAAAAAAGGGCAACGGATGAGGAAAGAACCCATTGGAGCTTTGGTTTGAAGTTCTGGGGTGTCTTTCCCTAACGGGAGGGTGGAAAAAGGGGTTCATTTTTTATGTGAAAAGTATTGTCGGTTGCTGTCTAATTGCAACTTTCCCTGTTTTGCCTTGAAAGGGAAACTTGAGCACAAGTTAAAATTTCTCTGCTGCAAGCATTTGGAATATCTACCATAGCCACCCAACATACAAACACACACACACACACACACACACACACACACACACACACACACACAGAGCCATCTTCCTCATTACAGTTCATGCTTCTGGGTGAGCTCAATGTTAAAAGTTTTTTTTAAAGAAAAAAAAGATCTATTATATATATATTAAAAATATATGTGTGTATTTAAAGGTGCTAATCATCTTAAGCAGGTCACGTGACTGGTCATGCGGACTCTAAAATCATATCAGATTTTTTTTAGAAAAAAAATCCTCAATATATGCAGATGTTATACAGAATTTCTTACCAGTGTAATAATGATATACTGATTTAAATAAAAATAATCCTGCAGGGTTTGAAGGAAGAGGTCAGCAATACTTCCCACCGTGGCTTGGAGGAGGAACAAAAAAAAAAACAAAACAAAGGATCATCTTGTCAGCATAATGCACAATATTTTTTTATTTTCTCTCGTTTTGAGTGTCTCCATATAGCTATTGCTTTGGGAACTTAATCAAAAACAACAGCTGTCGTTCAAAGGGTTGAACAAACTGGAAAGGTGCGCTTTAAAAAAAAAAAAAAAGAAAACCAAAAAAACCTCCAGACTCTTTTGAACCTGTTGTAAATCTATGTTTGTTTTGAGAGCTATTCCTGGAATCTTGCAAGGCTGGCGAGATGCATCAGCGATAATCTTGGACATATGGGTGGCGATCTGTGGGCTTCAGTGGCACGTGTACTTCGTTTTTCCTGGTTGTGTTTCTTGGGTCAGGGAAGGGCTGGCCATGCAACGGGACTGCTGTTCCCAACTGCAAGGCTCTCCAACCTTGGCAACTTTACGACTCGTGGACTTCAACTCCTAGGATTCCTCAACCAGCCTGGTTGAGGCTGAGGAATTCTGGCAGCTGAAGTCCGCAAGTCGTAAAGTTACCAAGATTGGAGACGCCTGCATTACTTAATTGCCCAACTTAGGCATTTCTCCCAGACCCAAAGTAGCTTTTGCGGTTCCTTTTCAATCTGCAAAGCTGTGTCAGTTTCCAACCTGGGATTTTTTGGGTCACTGAGCCATAGATTGGTGTTGTTCAGGCAGCGGTTGTGTTTTTCTTGCCTTATTTCATTCCAAAAAATAAATCAAAAAGGCGGTTTAGTTTTAGCTTTAAATGTTTTCTTTCTTACACCTGTGTGGTGAAGGACAGTTTGGGAACTAACATCCGTCTGAAGCTAAGAGAGAGGAGACGATGGGACGACCGTTCCATCCAGGAGAGATGTGGGTGCTGCAGTGTGCATTTCTATTATACCATCTTCGCGCTGGGGTTGGGCATGGACCTCACGAGGGAGGAGGCATCCTGTGCTGATGCGCCGTCAGCTGGGAGCACCTGGCCCACCCACCCTACCCCCATTTCATATTGATGATCTCAACCTCTTGATGTGTCTTCAGCTTGTTCTGGGTTCTTGAAACTGTCTGGAGTAGCCGACATTCTTGTGTGTTGGACTGAACCAAAGACACCTCCAGCCGAGCCTCAATGCTGCTTCTTAAAATGTCTGCCTTCCGATCCTTCAAAGTCTCTGCAGGATGCAAATGGGTTAACTTTTTTTATTTTTGTACAGTTTCTAACTGATTTTTGCTAGTGATGTTAATTAAGTTTGAGGAACTGCCGCGGCTCCTCTGATGAAATTAAACTGGTGACTTTATGTTTAAATAAAATAATATAGAAACCCGACATGTGCCTCTCAGATTCTAAGGGTTTCTGGTTACACTTCTTAAGACCAGCAATGATTCTTTATATACAAAGATATGTTTTTTTCCTTGTTTCTTTTTTTATTATTACTGTTTCGGAAGGAAAGAAATAAACTTCCTTCTGCTCTGAAGCCAGTGGTCACACTGGTACATAAATGCACTGAGTTAAAAAGAAAAAAAAACTTTTGTAACAACTTATGACTGTTTTTGTATATCAAAGCTGATTCTTTCCAAAAGATTTGAATCTAGTTTCTAAGTTATTTTAGTGTTTTATATGTTAAAAGAATTAATTGTTCACCAGCATAATAACTAGTTATCTTCAATGGAAAAAGTGACATAGGTGGGCAGATGATCTACCTGGAGTAGCTCAGAAGCCCCTCCCCCTTCTTTTCCTTTGACTATTGATTACAATATTATCACAGATTACCACAAACCTCCTTCCATTAAGACTAGATTCTTATTTCCATGTTTATTTGCTATTAGTGTGAAGAAACTGTTGATTTTTTAAAAAACGGGCATTTTATAAGTATGGCTTAAAGGTAAAAATGAGGAAAAAGCAAAAAAAAAACTACTTTAGAAGGTAATTTGTGGATCTGTGAGATATGGCTGTGGAAAGATATTGTAGTAGTTTTAACACTATTGTTATTACCTTTTAAATCATTTACCCAATAAAATGAGGAAAAATCGCAGCTGCTTGTATTAATGGTTTCCTTGCACTTTGATACCTTTCCTTAAGTTTAAGATCTGGTTGCCTTCAACCAGAAGGGATGACGGGATCTAGAAAAGCCCCACCCCACCCCTTAGAAGCAAGAGAGGCTTGAAATAAACTTTAGGAAAGTTTACAGGTAGTCCTTGACTTACAACAGTTCATTTAGTGACCGTTTAAAGTTACAACAGCACTGGAAAAAAGCGACTTGGGTCAGAGATGTATCTGTATAAAAGAGGCCAGAATGAAAAGAAATTAGTTGTACATCCTGAAGGAGGTGTTGAATGAACGAAATACAGTAGACATCTTCCCAAAAGGATCGGTTCTTTGGAATGCATAGAATATTAGGGTTGTAAGGGACCTTGGAGGTGGTCTAGTCCAACCTGCTGCTCCCAGGCAGGATTTCTTATACTGAAGCAGACAGGGAAGTCTAATCTGCCCAACCATCACCATGTTGAAGTTAGAACCAAGGGATTAAATTCAAGTTACAACCATTGGTGTAAAATATTTATCTCCGTGAAACAAAACATAAGCAGGTTCTTTTTCACAAACATTTTATTTTGAGATAGAAAAAACATTTGAGACAACTATATAGCCATAAACCCAAATACACAATTTTGTTGGAAAACGACTTTTACGTTTTAAAAAAAAAGTTTTTAAAAAATATCTTAATAAAATGATCTTAGTGGGTGATTCTATTTTTTAATTCATCAAAAATGGAAATAACTCTACTTCTGATTATCCCTCAATAGCCAGAATGAGCTAAAATACTAACATTTGAAGGCTATTTGATTAGAAAACAAAAGATTGTATGGCCACGAAGATTTTTGTTTTTTTGCCAAGCTATCAACTGAACTAAGACACTAGAAGAAAAGGACCATTTCAGATAGATGTAGCTACATCAATAAACTTCCAATTTCCCAGATTTGTAAGAGCCAAACACCTTGGGTGTTTGTAACAGCCACACTTGTAAGTAAAATTACAGCAATTCAAGAAACTTCCAGCCCTGAGGCCCCACAAAAAGTCCTTTGACAAGGTCCTGCTTTGAAAAATTTTAAAATACTCTTGCATCATGGAAAGTTAATGGTGGTATATATCATCCCTTTGCACAACCTCAGGTATAGATAAAACCAGTGTGAATCCGATGCACGTTGAGTGTTGGTGCCTTTTGGCTATGAGAGTAGAACTCAGTTCTGAGTTTATTTTTTCCAAAGCACACTCAATTTCCATGATGAGGAAGTATCAAAACCCTGATGCAGGCCACAAAAGGAGCAGCTTCGCTGAGGTACCCGACGTTAAAAGTGCACACAAGCCAATCATCCGTTTCTGGCGGTCTTCAAAAGACAACGCCTAACTAGAATTCCAAGAAGTTTTACAGCCATAAATGGAAACCATGAGCAACCTTGGGCTCAACAATCATACAAGATGTTAAAAACACAGGAAAGCAATTCGGAAGGATTCCATACCCAGTAGACAAACCATTAGTGGAAGCCAACTAAGATTCTTCCAAGACTTTATGAAAAAAGAGTAGGTGATGGGAACGGTGATGCTAAAAGGGAGAGGACCAAAGCATTCCAAGGCGCTCTCTTTGGCCTCCATGACAATCTCTGCTTGCAGCTTTTTTCTAGCCTCGTTCCAGGATGCTTTGAGCCAACCTTTCATTCAAAGAATTTAACACAGGCCAATGAAAGCTGCCAGGCATCAGTAAACAGTAACCACACAGGGTTTTTATTTTGGAGGGATGCAATCTGCAAATCCTCTCTTCAGGTTAACCGATTTATGCTATTATTATTTCCTTCCTCCAACCAATCTATAAATTAAAATGTGTATCCCTCTAACTACATTTTCCGCCCCTGCATGGGAAATCCTCCCATACTTGCATTTCAAGAAGGAAATATGGCACCTTCTTCCTTGGCACTTGCACTGTTAGTGATTTACAAAGATCATGCCTGCCTGGGGCGCCACAAAGGACACTGAATTTATCTTCAAATTAAGAATGAAAGGCGATAATGCCCTGCTGCTACATTTCCCCCAGCAAAGCTCACCAGCTTAAATTTAGAAAAAGGGACAAGGAAAATCCCAGCTCTAGAACAAACAATATTAGCTATCTTTCCTGCTGAAGGTGCTATTTTTATCAAACAGAGACTATCAACTTCTAGAGATCTGGCACCAGCAGTCCCTAATCTCTCCAGGATCTGATTGCTTCAGCCCAGAACTAAAATTCTAGTTCACAGAAGTTGCAACTTGGATCAACAGCCTCCACAACTCTTGTCAAATCACAGAATGAAAGAAAACGCTCCCTCAAAAGAGGTTTACAAGTCCCTGGTCTATTTATCCAGGACGCATGTAGAAGAAAACCCTTTAAGTGACTTAAAAAGAAAATTCCCAATCTATTGTGCTAGCAAGGCAGCTTTTTCATAAAATAACCGGGACTTGAACAGCAGACACAATGTTTTTGAAACAGCTATTGTATGATCTGGAAAGAAAACAAGTGGCACCTGTTTTATGAGCAAGTAGCTCTAAAAGGAAATTCAAAGTCTCCTGCGATCAAGAGGCACCCACACACTGATTACATAGTCTAGAAAAAACTTAAGATTGTGGATGATAAATATGGCACAGAATCAAAGGATAGATCCAGATTGATCATTGAGATCACAATACGAATACAAAGATCACTTTCATTGGCAGGTCCAAATAAGAAACCTAGCTAATTCTTGGCTTTTAAAAAGAAAAAGAAAAGTCAATATTCACTATTTAAAACAGATGCGTATCTCCTTGTAAGTTTTATGGTTCTATATGGAAGGAGTCCAGGACAACTGTCACATGCACACACACACACACACACACAAGCACAAAAACACTGTGGCTATGTTATTCATCTAGAAATTTCATTGCATGTACGTATGTATATCTGTTTAAATAGGCCACGTTGAAGAGTAAACATCAAGATTCATCAAAGCAGCAGCAGAAGACACCTGGCTCCCCAGGACCCCACTGGGGTTTTGACATCAGAAATTTGGCCCAAGAAACAGAGAGAGGAAATTTCCCACTGGGCAGCATAGAAGGAACTATCTCTTCTGATAGAAAAGTAACAACTAAAGAATACTCACAGTTGAATATTTACAAAATGTCTCAACGAATGCAAAAAAAAAAAAACCCCACCACCAAGATTTATAAAGCCCTCAAGTAGAAGATTAATTCTCTGATCACGCCAAACTGCAATGAGATTCAAGTTTTGGTCAACTGGAATGAAATATTCATACTAACTTTTGAAGTACTTCGTGGTGAGCACCCACCCCACCCCACCCCATTACTTCCCACATTCAGGTGGAAAGAGCAGATAAGGTTGACCTTAAGGCAAATTTTCTCTGCTTGAGATATCAAAGGCTGCCCAGCATGGGACTTGTAAGGCAATACAACTGGAGACACTGGCGGGGACGGTACAAAAGAGTAGCAGAAATCTAATTCAGAACAACTATCACAGCAACAACTCAGAAAGCTAGAGATTCTGCTTCTGAGGATTACTTTTCTCCAATTTACACCAATGCAGCTTGGCTACTTCAGACAAACCTGAATGTGTGCTGTTTTCCCCAAGGATCTCCAAATACGTTGGTCTGCAGGGTTCTCATCTAGCACAGTCTTGCCAGATGGTGAATTGTGGATGAAGAAAGGTTATGCTTTGTTCTGGAGTGGCCTAGTAGGGGGAAGTTGATATATATGTGGATATAACATTGAATACATGTATGTACAATATGTAATACATTTATGTAAGTATACATAGCTATGACATAGAGTCCAACTCCAAATTGGCAGATTTTCTTGGCCAGTGCCTTTAACTGAGACAAATCTATCTCCTAAATCTTAATCCAGCAATTAAGTTGTTTTTCACCAATTAATTTAGAAGAACAATCTGGAAGGTGCCAGCAGATATGATGGCATCTGAGCAGGCTTCAGCCTAAATTTTCAGGAGTTTCAGAAGGCAGTGTTTGGCAAGTAGATTGTTATTGTTTCCCATATGTTTAACCAATTTCAACCACGCAAGAATCTTTGCATCGACACTGATAGTGAGAAAGCACCCAACACTATTTATGCTCAAAGTCTACATGAGACAAGAAGAGGTTCTGTGCTGAAGATAAAACCTAAGAGCTGCCACACAGGAGGAAAACTGACTGAAGTCATGAGCAAACGGAATAGTGCTTTCCATCAGCCAAAGTCCTTGATATGACGGACATCTGAAACTCCAAAGGTCCAGGGTGGCAAGATCAGAAGTTGCACTCTAAGTCTACTTGTGGCTTTTTGTAAATAAGCCCATGGTTTCGCCATCCTTGCCAGTTACAGGGAATGAAGATTCAGCAGAATAGTGGGAAGATAAACCTGATGTCATAATAGAAGAAAGAAATCAAAAACAGTATAGGCAGTGTTCTTCTCCAACCCCAAATACAATGGTTCTTCTCTAGATCATCTCTTCAACAAAGAAATAAGAACCAGGATGGAGTCTCAGGATACTTTCTTAGCCGGAAATCGTAGTACATCCACACCGAGCTTAAAGAAAGGGACAGTGTTATAGAAAAGGAGAATTATGAGTTTTCCATGGAACATGGTCATGATGGACTGGTGTCCCGATGCCCAGATTCTATACCAAGGGCCATAGAAAGGATCAGAAATAGCCGGGCACAGTATGTTGTTCAAGTTCACTTCAGTGATCTAGAAGAGCAGGAGAAAGATTGATTTTTACTATCTTTCAAAACAAAATGTCTTTATACTATCCTACAATAATTTGCCCTACTTTAAGAAAAGTAGTAATGTTCCCAGTCCTTAAATATTTATTTATTTATTTATTAAATCCATATGTCACCTGTCTCACTATCCATAGTAACTATGAACCTGAAATGTGTCAGTTCTTCTTTGTCTTCTCTGGCACCCCAGTTTACACCCAAACAACACCCTCAAACAAATGTAATTCTGAAGCTTTTTAATGTACTGCAGTTTCCTCTGTTTAATCTACTTGGGTAGAAGGTAAATCATTTAAAACAAGAATTCTTTTCTCTAAGCTACATCTTCTGTTTCTTTTTCTTTACTTACCTGCTCCATTGGCATATTTTTACTAAACCCACCCGTACACAAGCCAAAGAGAGATATACAATCCATATAAGCAAATTGACTTACAAGTCCCAAGATCTGTAAAAAAATGTAGTGGTAGACAAACATGAACCCAGTGGAGAGCAAGGCCCACCAAAAATTCCTGGATGGCTCAGGAGTGTAGACACCTTTTAGAAAACGAGAAAAACAGAAAAATGTTTTCTGCTATTTCAAGATGGGCACCATTCTTTCTTTAACGAAGTTATCAATTTTCACCCTGAAAATCCAAGATTATTGCAATAGAAAACATAAGCTGGTAGAAATATCTCTGTTGTAGACCAGACTGAACACCAAAGAAGAGAACTGCAAACATTTCACGATGCTGAGAAGACCATGGCTGACTCCTGGCTTGAAAAAGTTTGCACACTAATCCCTTACTATAGGTAGTCCTCAATTTATGACCACAATTGAGCCCAAAATTTATGTTGCTAAGTAAGAAATTTGTTAAGTGAGTTTTGCCCCATTTTACGACTTTTCTTGCCGCATTTGTTAAGTGATTCACGGAAGGTGTTAAATTAGTAACACAGTTGTTAAGTGAATCTGGCTTCCTCATTGACTTTGCTTCTCAGAAGGTTGCAAAAGATGATCACATGACCCCGGGACACTGCACCGCCATAAATGTGAGTCAGTTATCCAACATTCAAATGTAAATCACATGACCATGGGGATGTTTCAACAATCGTTAAGTGTAAAAAATGGTCATAACTCACTTTTTTCAATGACGTTGTAACTTTGGTCACTAAGTGAACTGTTGTAATTCAAGGACTACCTGTATTTCAGCAAACCAGGACCACAGAAGTCAATGCCAGAGCAGGCAGGAAAGTTAATGGAATACACAGACTCATTCAGCCAGACTACGGTTAGTCCTCGACTCATGACCATTCATTTAGTGATCATTCAAACTTGCAACTACAGGTGGTCCTGCACTTATGATCATAACTAATCCCAACATTTATGTTGCTAAATGAGACAATTGTTAAGGGAGTTTTGCCCCCGTTTCCAACTTTGTTAACAACTAAATTGTTAAGTGAATCCCTGCAGTTATTCAGTTAGTAACCCAGTTGTTAAGTGGAATCTGGCTTCCCCACTGTCTCTGCTTGTCAGAAGGTCGCAAAAGGTGATCTCAGGATATTGAAACCGTCATAAATCTGAGTCAGTTGCCAAGCACCTGAATTTTGATCGTGTGACCATTAGGGATGCTGCAAGGGCCATGTGAAAAACATTCATAAGTCACTTTTTTCAGTGCGGTGGCAACTTTGAATGGTCACTAAATGAACTGTTGTTAAGTCAAGGACTACCTGTATCATGAGAATCAGGAGGAGTGTCATTTGAGACATCTGTGTAACCCTCCCCCATTATTTCAACTGATGGCAGTATTTTCCTTTAGAGGTAGTCCTCAACTTACAACCACTTGTTTAGTGACCGTTCAAAGTTTGCAGCGGCACTGAAAAACATGACTTTCACACTTTCATGCGTACAATCCCAATGGGGACTGCAGCATCCCCAGCGCTTGGCAACTGGCATGTATTTACGACAGTTGCACTTCCCAGATCATACAATCCCCATTTGTAACCTTCCTAGCTGGCTCCCGATAAGTCAATTGGGGAAGCCTGATTCACTTAACAACCTCATGATTCACTTAACTGCAGCAATTCGCTTAACTGTGGCAAAAAGGTCATAAAAGGGACTCGCTTAACAACCGTCTTGCTTAGCAATACAAATTTGTGGCACTACGTCAAGGACTCCTTGTAGAGAGTTCTTGCATTCCTAACTAATGACAATTTGATTCATTGCTCTAGAAACAGTTACCCCGTATTTTTCGGAATAAAAGACACACTTTTCCCCCCCTAAAAGAGGGAGAAAATTTGGGTGCATCTTGACACTCCGAATGTAGCCCCGCCCACCCACTGGCCCCCACCCTTTGGCCTCTGCCTCCCAGCAATTTACTTCCTTGCAGCAAGCAACAAACAGCAAAACAGCCCTTTTCAGCTTCAGCACAGCCTGATTAGCACAAGCAGTTGATTGGTGGTTGGATTGGCCTCCCGACCCTCAGCTGTTTCAGGCTGCAGGGATTGTCATAGCCTATTGCCACGCAGGCCTCCACTGCTTGCTGCAAGCAGGCAAATTGCTGGAAGGCAGTTTTTTTTTTTCTTGTGCCGAAAATGAAAATGAAATTAAAGCAGGCTGTTTGCTGCAGCGAGGCAAACTAGGAGGCGGAGGCAGAGTTATTGTGAGTGTATTATGGTCTTATTTTCTTCTTTGTGTCCTTTTGTTGTAAAATTTCTGTCTAGAATCAACAATTAGCTGGAATTTAAAAAGCATTTCACTAACTTAATTAAAATTTTACCTGAAGGAAAATAAAGAGAGGGGGGGGGAAAGCTTTACATCTAACAAATTGTGTGCTGAATAACTTACTGATTCTGATTACAATACCAATCTATGCAAAGAAAAAAAACTTAAAACAGTTCCAAACTGGTAAAATTTCATATTATTTCCCATATCCATGCACTAGTGTATAACTTGTTTGCCTCCCCAAAAAAGGTAGGTGTGTCCTATAGTCCAGAGCATCTTATACTCTGAAAAATACAGTAACTAGAAAGCTTGCTTAGCCCCTCTAGACATGCTCCAGAAGTATCTGGTTTGAAGGCAGGAGCTTTCAAACAATACATTGTAAAGCCAAGGGAAAAAGCCCAGACAAATTCCTGGCAACCAAGGCAGCTGGAAAAGAAATCTACATGCTTATTTTTCCAAGCGTTAATGGCCCCCATTCTGAGCTTTTGAATTTCAGCTCAGAGATGCTTTCTCTTCCCTCTTTGATGTCTCTCCAGTCAGAAATTCCTTCTCTGCATACCGTGGAAAATCACTGAATGGAGACCAGTAACTGCTCATCTGGGAAATGGGTAAAAAGGAAGAGTGGAGGGAAGAGAGACGGTTGGGAAGAGCTGAAATTACATTGTTTTCTTCCTAGCCTAACTCAACTTCTCCAGAGCTCCTCAGGAATCATTACAGCTAGCCCTTCGACTTGCAACCATTTGTTTAACAACAAAAATTGCAACAACATCGAAAAATGTGACTTATGACCAGTTCTTGCACTTACAACCACTGCAGCATCCCTAGAGTCATGTGATCAAAATCTGGGCACTTGCAAACGTGCATGCATTTACAAAAGTTGCAGCATCCCAGGGTCACATGATCACCATATATTGTCCCTCAGCCGGCTTCTGACAAGCAAAGTCAATGAGGGAAACCGAATTTATTTAACATCCGCATGATTCACTAAAAGCTGCAATCATTAGTTTAACAGTCTACAACAAAAAAAAATGTTGCAAAATAGAGTGAGACTCGCTTAACAACTGCCTTATTTAGCAATGGAAATTCTGGTCCCAACCGTGGTTGTAAGTTGAGGGTTACTTACCTGCAGAAAAATGGTTAGCACAATCTTCGGAGGTTAACTCCATCTTCTAAACCAAAACTGGAGAAACTTTTCCACAGCTTAGCAGAAATCTGAATTGGGTCACATGTGTTTGGTAACTGATGGTTTATATTTAAGCTTTGCTGAGACCTTAACAGCAAATTTCAAGCTTGTAAAATAATAGGGGGGGGAAATCACAATTTCAAAAGAACATCCTACCATATCAGGTACTCAACAGATCTCAAAGAAATCCATGGGAGGTGGACGAGATCCAGAGTCTGAGTTCTTGGATCTTGCCACCAAGATCCTGTTTGTTTGTTTCTTTGTTTCTTTGTTTAGAAAACTTATATGGCGGAGGATTTATATTGCTCATGATAGTTATGAGAACTATGAACCACTCCACTGTTGAGAGCCTTCCCATAGATAGAACAATAGAATCACAGGGTTTGCAGACAGGAGTATAAATCCTTCCATTCCCCATCATCCAGGCAGAGCTGAAGAAGCAAAACATCTTCGAAGAAAAACCAGAAAGTCCAGCTGCCACTTGAACAAAGCACCTTCTGGACAACCATGACCTGGATGACTGAGCATCTCCATAGACATTCTGAACAAATGGTTGTTCAGTCTCTTTTTACAAATTCAATAAAATAAATAAATAAACATGTTCCCCAAATAAGGTCATCAAGAAATGTTAGTGGTGGCAACTAGGCTGTCATTCATTTTTTTCTCCCTATTTCACATTTTTATCCCACTTTCGACAAACATTTAACTGAAGGTGGAGTTCAGGGTTTGCAGGCCACCAGCAGAGGGTAGCAGAGAGTTGCAGGAACCTAAAGGTCTCCTTAAACAGGTTTGAAAGCTCTCCTGTTCTCCTGGCCAAGAAGTGGTTGGGCAACAAATGAAGGAGTCATTATGCAAAATCAGTAGGGCCCTTTCACAAACAAGGAAACATCTACCATTTCTTGGGGGGAGGGGGAATTCATTTGTTGATGATTTTCCCTTTCTCCAGAGGGCAGACAAGAAGTAATGAGTAGAAACTTGTTTAAAAGGAGATCCAACCTAAAAGTAAGAAGAAATTTCCTGGCAGTGAGGACAATTCATCAATGGAATGACTTGCTTCCAGAAGTTGCGGGTGCTCCATCATCGGAGGTTTTTAAGAACAAATTGGATAGCCCTATGTCTGGATGGTATGAAGCTCCTGCCTTGAGGTTGGACTATGATTCTATGGTCTATGTTTTTAAACTGTGAAAAGCTTTGCTGAAGTTTTGTTGGATTGCTGAACTGAAAATATAGCATCCTTGGTAAGAATTGAGGAACAAAATTAACATTCAGTGGCTGAAGGAGATCCTCTAGAATATAGTGATGGAGGTCCTGATTAGCTAGGAAGACAGGATATCATTAAATAGTATCAGTAAAGCCCCCCCCCCCTTCGACATACCTCCTTTCTGTAGCAGGTAGATCGGGACAACATAGAGCATGATATGTTGAATGTAATAAATTTCCATTTCAAAAGGTAGCTGCAAAAAAAAAGAAGAAGGAACAGATTTATAAATACAAACTGGTGTGCACACAGCTCAGAGTAATTTTCCCTTCGATTCAATTTCAGGTCAGTTTTATTCAATACAGGTACTCCTCGACTTACAAAAGTTCATTTAGTGTCCATACAAAATTACAAAGGCACTGAAAAAAGTGACATGACCGTTTTTCACATTTACAACCGTTGCAGCATCCCTATGGTCATGGGATCAAAATTCAGGTGCTTAGCAACTGATTCATATTGATGACAGCTGAAGTATTCTGGGGTCACGCGATCGCTTTTTGTGGCCTTGATTTCAAGCAAAGTCAATGGGGAAGCCAGATTCACTGAACAACCGGATTACTAACTTAACAACTGCAGTGATTCGCTTAACAACTAAGGCATGAAAAATGTAAAATGGGGCAAAATTCACTTAATGAATGTCTCACTTAGCAGAAATTTGGGGCTCAACTGTGTTGAGGACTATCTGTATTGTATGCCTCTAGAGGAACGACTATTATTCATCAGGACAGCTGTATATCTATTTCCCAGTTTGTAAAATGGCTCAAACGAACAGGCTTGACTTGACATGTTGCATCCATTAACCATGTTCCCCAAATACTTTTAACCCAGTCAAATGTCGTTATAGGAGCCTGAGTGGCGTAGGAGGCTAATGCCTCCTACTAAGGCAGCATTTAACATCCAGCTGTCTGCAATTAAAGTAAGATCGAATCTCACCAGGCTCAAGGTTGACTCAGCCTTCCATCCTTTATAACGTAGGTAAATTGAGGACCCAGATTGTGGGGGCAATAAGCTCACTTTGTATAAAATATGCAAAAGTATGAAGGCTATTGCTTAGCGCATTGTAAGCCGCCCTGAGTCTCCGGAGAAGGGCGGCATATAAAAATAAATAAATAAAAATAAATAAATAAATAAAATTGGTGGTTCTGGGTGCAATCCCAGTACAGGATCCCACCTACTGAGTGTAAAGTCCAACTATTTGGGAAATACTGTATTAAAGCCTCCCCCACTTTCTCTAGGGAGGGGCTACTATCCAAAGAGCCATTGCAAAGGACGTTTTCCTCTTGGTAGGTGTTACTTAGATACAGACTTGGAGAGTCAAGAGTAGCCAGGATGGTAGGATGGAAGCTTTGACGAGTGCGGAATGCAAACTGAAATTCTGAAAGCCTATCAGGAAATGGTCACAAAACCACAGAACTATTCATTTTGGTCAGGTTGTCTCTGCTGTCATGTTTTTGACAGTTGCTCAACAGAGAACATTTCCGCAAACAAATGCACTGTAACGTCACCCAGACTTTAAATAATATTCTTTGGAATGAAAATGTTTTATCTTAGAGATTAACCCTTGACTTACAATTCATTTAGTGATTGTTCACAGTCACAACACCACTGAAAAAACTTATGACTGGTCCTCACACTTATGCCTGTTGCAGTGTCCCCATGGTCACGTGATCCAAATCCAGATACTTGGCAACTGGTCCATATTTATGACGGTTGCAGCATCCCAGGGTCACGTGATCCCCGTTTGCGACCTTCTGACAAGCGAAGTTACTGGGGAAGCCGGATTCACCTAACAATTGCAGTGTTTCATTTAACAACTGTGGCAAAAAGATCATAAAGTGGGGCAACATTCACTTAACAACTGTCTTGCTAAGCAATGGAATTTTGGAGCTTTTTTTTTTTTTTATTTGATTTATATGCCGCCCTTCTCCGGAGACTCAGGGCGGCTTACAATGTGCTCAGCAATAGCCTTCATCCTTTTGTATATTTATACAAAGTCAGCTTATTGCCCCCACAAACTGGGTCCTCAATTTACCTACCTTAGAAAGGATGGAAGGCTGAGTCAACCTTGAGCCTGGCGAGATTCGAACCTGCAGTAATTGCAGGCAGCTGGTCTTAATAACAGGGTGTTTTAGACCACTGTACTACCAAGGCTCCTTAATTGTGGTCTTAAGTCAAGGACCACCTGTATAGTGGTATAATTCATTGCAATCATTAAGAAGGTCCCCATGTGTGATCTGACTTGACTTTACGACCGGTTTTACAATGGTTGTTAAGCACTGTGGTCACTAAGTGAACCAGTGGTCATTAAGCAAATCCAGAATTTCCAATGGGCGCAAACATGGTATAAAAGTCACAAATCAGAATCACGTAACCATAGGCCGCTGCAACCAGTCACAAATGCAAGCAGTTCCTAAGAACTCCAAACGTGATCACATGACTGTGGGGAGGTGCGCCAGTTGTAACTTTGAGGACGTGTTGTAAGTAGCTTTTTTTAAGACTGTCGTACTTTCACAAAGTCATTAATAACTGGTCGTTAACCGAGGACTACTTGTATTTAGGTTACCACATTCCTTGGTAAACCAAAATCAAGAATCACCAGCACCCTTCATAAATCAGGTCATTAACATGTAAAGCAACAATCCCAGTTGTGATCAAACAGAAAGAAAGATGACACCATCAACAGACTCAATTTATTATGGCACTTTAACAAAAGAGTTATTACCTGGATCTATTACCTGGATATTGGCACCACAAACATTGTGACATAACCAAGCTTCACCACAACCGAATTAGGAGCCTTAGATTGGATGCAAGAAACAACTCAGCTATTTTACTATAACTCAAAAGTATACATGGCTATCTAGTGTATGTTGACCTCTTTTGGAATAAGCTTTTAGAAGCTGGAAGCTTTGACGTATAAAAATATCAAATGCATACAAACACAGTCGGTTAAAATATCCATCCATACCCCGTTTTCCTATCATATTCATTCCTTTTCCACAATGGGCTCCTTGTTTGGATTTTGATTCATTAACCATTGTTTCATTTTTAGGAAGCAAACAAGGCAGAAAGTGCAGGAAGCCGTGCTCCATTAATTAAGATTATCTCTATACTGGCTTGCTCCAGAGACAAAAAGATGGTTCCTACTCTTTAAGGTTTCAGGGGGCTTTGAAGAACTGGTTGTTCCCCTATGCATTTGAGATTGAGCAAACTGCTACTTAAATTGGTTTTTATTGTTGTTTTTTTTAAAAAACGGAAAGACTTCTGCAACCTTGGACATTATTTGCCAAGACTTCTGCAACCACCATGATTCGGATGGTTGATTTTTTTTTTTTCCTGGTGCTTTTAATCCTCATATGCCACTCGAAGTTATTGCCAAAACATGAGCAGCCAGAGAAATGAAATGAAATAAATCAGTAAATAAACAGTGCAAGATTTAAAAAAGAAGGAAAGTATCAAAGGCTATTTCTCTTGAAGTCCATCCAGTCCCATATTAGAGAATCTTGGCATGGGAATCTGTGTGGGACTCAGGCCCAGCTTTATCTTTAACTGTGGAAACTTGTTGTGTGACTTTAGACTAATCCCCACCTACCCACCTCAGCCTAATGTGACCTGCCAGGGTGGTTGCTATGGGAAAATTGCACAGAGAAATATGTAACCCACCTGGACAGAGTGAATGAAAGACAGGAGAGAAAGCTAGCAAATAAGTAAGCAAGAAAATATATAAACAAAGGACAGGTTGAGAAACCCAACACTGATCACTGCTTTGCATTCCAAAGAGTTTAAATCAGTGTTTTTCAAACTTGGCAACTTTAAGATGTGTGGACTTCAACTCCCAGAATTCCCCAGCCAGCTGAGCATTTTGGGAGTTGAAGTCCACATATCTTAAAAATTGCCACGTTTGAAAAACTCTGCTCTAAATCTTCAGAGGCTGCGGAAAAATCCCATAAGAATTGTTGTGTTTGCTGAACAAATGGGTTTCCTCCAATGCAGTATTATGCGATTCTGAATTCTTGGCCAAAAGAAAGGACTCCTGTACTTTTATATACATTTGGGGGATTTTAAAAAACAACACAAACAATTCCTGTATTTTATCAGCTCTCCATAACTACCCAACCATACAGGAATCCCAGTTTGTGTCAAACTGAAAGGAGTGGAAATGACAGCTGCTGATTGTTGGCTCAAGAAGTTTATTTCACAATGTTGACTCTTCTTAGCAGGAAAATGATGTCAGCATTTTCCTGTACATATCAGGGTGGAACAGTTCAGAGAAATTCTGAACACAAGCTTGCACACTATGGGCAGCTCAGCTCAACAACACCAGCCTAACCTGATCCTTAGCTAGCATTTAAATAATATGCTGGATGATCAATGTCTCTGATATTTGGTATCCTCGTAGCTCATCAGAAGTTCTCCCTGTATTTCTAGAGATGCAAGCTAAACTACAGAATATAGAATAACAGAGTTGGAAGGGACCTTGGAGATCTTCTAATCCACCTCCCTGCTCAAGCAGGAGACCTTATACCATTCTTGATAAATGGCCGTCCAGGCTCTTGTTAAAAGCCTCCAGTGTTGGAGCAGACACAACTTTTGAAGGCAACTGTTCCACTGGTTAATTGTACTCACTGCTAGGAAATTTCTCCTTAGTTCTAAGTTGCTTCTCTCTCTGTTCAGTTTCCATCCGTTGCTTCTTGTTTTGTCTTCAAGTGGTTTAGAAAAAATAGATTGACTCAGTCTTCTTTGTGGCAACACTGCTATCATGTCACCGTTGGTTCTTCTTTTCACTAGACTAGACATCCCCCGTTTGCTACATAGCATCTCATTGACCAAATTAATCAATTAAATAAATCAAGACCAATTAATCGACAGAATAGCTTGCCTCCCTGAGTTGTGGAGTCTCCACCACTGCAGGCCTTCAGGAAAAGATTGGAGAGCCATTTGTCTGGGATGCAATAAGTCTCCTGCCTTGAGCAGGGGGTTGGACTAGAAGACCTCTGAGGTTCCTTCCAGTCTTACGATTCTTTGAAATGTAGGAGATTGAAAAAAGCAAACAATGTGATTGGGCTTTGCATGTTGGAGACACCCACTGCAATTTGTTAAATTGTAGTTTAAGGTTCGACGGGAATTCAACCAGTTGCTGGTCACCTTCCACTAAGTCTGCTCCAGTAACCCAGCAACAGCTCTCCATCCTCAGCAAGTATTCAGTTGTTGAACTAATCCAAATTGGAGATTCTACCCTTTAATGTGGGACTTTATAATGGGTATATACAAAACACTAAACCTCATGATACTTTGGCTTAAATACTTGGAAAACCCATCCAGTGTAGTTTGTAGGCCTTAGGTTTCATTTTTGGGAATGAGACAATGCACTATACCTAACCAAACTCACATCCTTGACTTACAACAATTTGCTTAGTGCCCATTCAAAGTTAAAAAGTGGCTTATGACCGTTTTTCACACTTGGAACCATTGCAGCATCCTCATGATCACTTGATCAAAATTCAGACAATTGGCAACTGACTCATATTTATGACGGTTGCTGTGTCCCGGGATCGTGTCCCTTTTGCGACCTTCTGACAAGTAAAGTCAATGAGGAAGCCAGTTTCACTTAACAAACATGTTACGAACTGCAGTGATTCACTTAACAGCTATGGCACGAAAAGTTGTAAAATGGGGCAAAACTCACTTAACAACTGTCTTGTTTAAGAACAAAAATTTTGGGCTCAATTGTGGTTGAGGACTACCTGAACAGGGCATTTGTGTAGTTTTCACATCTTGCCTTCTCCCTCTCTCTCACCTACACACATACACAGAGAGACTTTATCCCATCCTTAATAGGCAGGGTTAGATTATTATTGTTAAATTGGATATTACTAAATTGATATAGAATTTGACTATGACATCTCTGCTTATAACCCTCCTTCCTTTAGAATTAACAGACCGATTCGTTTAATTTTGTTTGTTGATCTCAAGATGCAAAGTACAGCTCAATTCACTGTTCCAAAGTAACACTTCTTCCCATTTTGCAAAACAAAATTGCATTTCAATTGAAGTACATAGAAAAAATTGTGTACCTGCCTAAGTGGGTATGACAAATTGATGATAAAGTATTAATGTATTGCTTTACAAAAATTTGCTCACAGGTACACCTTTGTGTGGAGGGGGGGCAGAGAGTGGTAGGAACAACGTTTGAGCAAACATTAACAAAAATACGAATCAAACAATTGAAAACAGGAGAAAAGAAACTAATCAATTTGTCCCTTCTCATCTGCTAGGCAGGCTCAGATGTCCAAGAGCCAAGAGAATTTGCTGTAGGTTGAAATGGAAATGTCGGAGGTCAGACTGTAGAAGCCAAATGTTGCTAATATTTCATTCGAGCAACACTTTGTATATCTCCTTCTGTCGAAGCTTTTTAAATAGAAACAGCCAAAATAAAAATATACAGGTAGGCCTCGACTTACAACAATTGAGCCCAAAATTTCTATTGTTAAGGGAGATGTTTGTAAAGTGAGTTTTGCCCCATTTTATGACCTTCCTTGCCACAGTTAAGTGAATCGCTGCAATTGGGAAGTTAGTAACCTGGTTGTTAAGTGAATCTGTTTTCCCCATGGACTCTGCTTGTCAGGTGGTCACAAAAGGGGATCACATGACCTTGGGACACAGCAACGGTCATAAATATGAGCCAGCTGCCAAGTGTCTGAATTTTGATCACGTGACCTTGGGGATGCTGCAAAGGTCGTGTCAAAAATGGCCATAAGTCACATTTTTTCAGTGCTGTTGTAACTTTGAACGGTCTTCAAACAAACTGCTTTAAGTCGAGGACTACCTGTATTAAACCCAACTGGTTATACAGGCAGGTCTGCTCTTGTCTATGCAAGAAGTTTCTGAATGGACTTTCTTAAGCGTGTAAAACACTGGCTTCCCTAACCAGAGTGGATTTTGGCTCTAATTAAAGCCATTCCGCAGGAAAAGTGGGATTAGGAAGAAAGGCACAGGGGCTGATCCAGCTTGTACTTTATTTGGGGAGATTAAGCAGCTAAATTACCCAGGCTGAGTCTTTGCAAGGCAGGACTGCCACATGCCACGTTCTTGGCTCTGGAATGTGTTTCTTCCTGTGGTTGGTGCAAAGGCGGAATATCATCCAAGCAGATTCCAAAGCAGAGAAAGCAGACTTCTTTCCAGCTGGAGTCCTGCAGGTGAGGCATAGTTTGGGAGGCAGTCATCCCAAAACAGGTAGCCGTCACTTAATGACGGTAATTAGGACTGGAATTTTCCTTGTTAAGCAATGCAGTCGTAAAATGAGACATCATGAGACCACACCACTTAGCCACACAACTCCTGGGTTTTGTCCGTTCCACACCATCATTAAAGTCTAATGACCGTTACAACAGTCATTCAGTGGAACGGCTTGTCTTCCGAAGCTGTGGATGCTTCATCACTGGAGGTTTTTAAGAAGAGACTGGAAAGCCATTTTGTCTGAAATGTATACGGTCTCTTGCTTGAGCAGGGAGTTGGATCAGAAGACCTTCCAACTGTTATTCTGTTATGTTGTATGAAGGCTTGAGTAAGAAAGCCAAAAAACCCAAACAAACAAGCTGACTGAGATACCCAACCATAGGATCGCTCTGGTGGGACCAGAGATAAATCAGATCAACACAGTGATAAGGATCAACTGGTGACAACAATAGCACACTTTGTTTTGAATAGGCATTCTTGCATCCGGGGCCCGATTGTCACACCACTTTAATTATTGTGATAATAGACCAACTTGATGTACTGCTCTGCAATGAAGCAGAAAACTCCGCATTTTAACGAGCGCACCTCAACTTTGACACAATAATGCTCATCATCTCCCAAAACAATTAATGCAGAAGGGACGCATCACATTTTCTAAAATCAAAGCAGTGGCTGATCTTCTCTGTATTGTCCCATTGGGTATGTGGGTGAGTGGATGGGGCAATGAATGGAATCAGGTTCAATGACCCATAATAAAGTTTTACTATGACTAAAATCAGAGTCAGCAGTTTAAGGGAGAAGTATTAGAATTAATTACAAGTTACAACCAAGCAGCCAGGGGTTACAGCTATTAGGTCAGTCACAGTGTTGTGTTTTAAACCAGGAGATCGTTGCGGAAGAATTAGCCAACTCTATGTTGTTGCCCAGGGATTCCTACACTCTTTGGGGAGGCTAATTTGTTAGTTTGAATTTGTAAACAAATAGTTTCATATTTGCTCATCAAGAATGCAATTGTGGTGTGCTTTTTAAACATTTATACTCAATAAATAAATAATACACCTTCAGTTATAGAAAGCAGCAATAGACATGCGTAAACAGAATGCAACACACTCACATGCTATCCTTACTCATGACTTTATGATTTTCAACTTAGCATACTGTGCCAGCTCAACCAACTATGATTCAAAGCCTTGATTTCTAGATCCACTCAAGGGAATTGTGGCCAATCATGGCTTCTTTAACAAACCATGATTACATAAGGATTCTAGGCTGATTCCTCTTTTAACTCAGTCCCCAGGTTCTGCCCCTCCTTCTCCTACAATCAGGATATCCAGAGAAAGACCTTGTAAAGAATTTTGTGAGAACATTCTTGCAATTGTTTTATTACTTCACACAAAAGATAAAAGCCAATTAAAAAAGCAACCTCCCACATTAGCAAAAAAAAAAGCACACCAAGCTGTGCATTCAAAAATAAATGGTAAGTAATAAATAAATAAACTCCTCTGAAGCACCTCAGATAGCCCTGGAAACATAAGCCAATATTTGATGCATACAGAAAAGTCTTTACTGGAAAAAGGAGCTATTTGCACTGACAGCTCTTTAGTGCTCTGTACGGTCAAAGATCCTGTGATAATGTGGGCTGCCAATTCGTGTAATCGTCATATGTGTACAACTTTTTTGCTGGATATGCACTTTTACCTGAACTCATAAAAAGAAAGAAAGAGAGAGAGAGAGAGAGAGAGAGAGAGAGGAAGGAAGGAAGGAAGGAAGGAAGGAAGGAAGGAAGGAAGGAAGGAAGGAAGGAAGGAAGGAAGGAAGGAAGGTCTGATGGAGACACACTGCTGGGTCACATGCAAGGAATCACTTCATCAAAATTAAACCCGTCACCCGTGGTTCCGTTCCTTTCCAATAGCAAGCTGAGATTAACTCACCAGGCGTGTGTTAACCACAGGAAACAGGAGAGCAAGAAGGGCCCCATTCAGCATGTGCATTTGCAACCTACCAAAAGAAAAAAGAAAAAGAAAAAAACAAATGTCACTTTTGCAGCATAAGGATGTCTGTTGCAAGCAATTCACAACAATTGCAGCCGGTTCTAAAAGAAGTCACCCGACTGGTTTTGTGACTAACATTTTGCGACTAGAACTCACAATCTCCTGGTTTGAAGTCTGGTGCCTTAAACAGTATTTCAATTGACTCTTTATTATTATGTGTTATTTTTATTCCTGCCAGTTTTCTTGGCTAGATTTCAGAAGTGGTTTGCTATTGTCTGCTTCCTAGAGCCAAGAGAGAAGGACTGGCTCAGGGTTACCCATCTCGTCCAAGGCAGAACTAGAAGTCACAGTCTCCCGGTTTGTAGACTAGTGCCTTAACCTCTACAACTGTTTTTTTTTCCCCATACCATCTGCTGATTTACAAAGTCAAATCCAGATGCAAACTTTTATTGGCTCAGTCCAATCGTCTGCTTCTTAAATGACTAAAGCAAAAACAGCCCAGGCATTCCATTATGAGTCATTTTAAGAACACCACCAAAAAGTCCACCTAAGTGCAGAGGATCCAACCTTGAGAGCAGGTGGGATAGGTAAAGTGGTTACTCAGCTGCGAGACTCAGAACCATCCCTCCTTGACCTTCTTGTCCCCTAAGAGTATAAGAGCATACAGTGAAGATATGAAGATGTTTTCAAGATTCATTAATGGCCCTAAAACAATAATGCAGCATTCCTGGAATCCAGCCTGTGTTTTGACCTGGCCTGCCTCTAAGGGCTGACATTAGGGCAGGATTTCTCAACCTTGACAATTTTAAGATCGGTGGACTTCACCCATCTGGGTCAACTCCCAGAACTTCCAAGGCTGAGAGGCACTGCATTAGGGCAAAATAATCCAACTTCATCTCTTCCTGTTTTTAAAGATCACAACCTTCTACATTCAAGGCTCAGTTAGCAAGATGGCTTCTTAAAAGGACAGCCCTTTCCCAAGAAGGAACTAAATTACATGTTGAGGTCCTAGAATGGACGTTGTCTTACCTGAACGTCCCTTTTCTGGGCGCTGCGTACACTATCCATGCATGGGTTAATCCTTCAGTGCTTGGCAAACAACTGAGTGAAAACAAAAGGCTTTTGTTCCCCTTTCCGGCTCCCAAGCCACGCCTCTGGTCCCATGATCCCCCAGTCTGAACGAAGGCGCAGCGGATAAGAAACCACACCATGGTAACATATAAAACTCAACTTTATTAACTCAAATTAACGTAAGGTAAAAGAAGGACTAGTCTCAGCCATAAGAGTGGCAGGCAGCTGTAACGGGCGGGATATGGATAGTGTACGCAGCGCCCAGAAAAGGGACGTTCAGGTAAGACAACGTCCATTTTCCTGTGCGCTGCTCCCACTATCCATGCATGGGATATACCCAAGCTTAAACTCCCTGGGTGGGGGGCTGCCTGCTCCCAGAGTCCTCCTCTGTCAGCACTTTTTGCAGGACTCTGCGGCCAAAGGATGCCTCAGCTGAGTTGAAGGCATCGATCCTGTAGTGGCGGATGAACGGTGTGAGGGATGACCACGTTGCAGCTCTGCAGATGTCCACGACCGAAGCTTGTGTGGCCCAGGCCGCCGTAGTGGCCGCACTGCGAGTCGAGTGCGGAAGGATCTTGCTGGGGGTCGGTTTGGCGTTCAAATCATATGCCATGGCGATGCAGGCCTTGATCCATCTGCTAACTGTGGCTGCTGATATCTTCTGACCCATGGACTTTGGGTTGAAGGAGACCAGGAGTCCCTCCGTCCGGCGGAAAGGAGCGGTCCGTTGGATGTAAAGGTGGATGGCACGTCGCACGTCTAGGGTGTGCCACCTCTTTTCTCTGGGGTCGCGAGGTGAGGGGCAGAAATCCGGCAGGATGAGCTCTTGAGCTCGGTGGAACCACGAGTTGACCTTCGGGGTAAAGGCCGGATCCAGGCGTAGACTCACCGTGGATTCGCGGAAGATGCACAAATCTTTGCGAACTGACAAGGCCGCTAGCTCTGAGACTCTCCTCGCTGAGGTGATCGCCAGCAGGAAGGTCACCTTAAACGATAGGTACTTAAGCGATGTCGAGTCTAGGGGCTCGAAGGGGGGCCCGGTCAGTGCCTGCAACACCAGCGGTAGATCCCATGAGGGGTAGCGGTGAACTGTGGGGGGCCGCAGGTTGGTGGCCCCATGCAGAAACCCCTTGATGCGTGGGTGGTGCGCGAGGGATTGATACGGAACGCACACAATGACCGTTGACAACGCTGCTGTCTGTCTCCGTAGGGTCGCGGGGGCCAGGCCCTTGTCTAGGCCGGCCTGTAGGAACCGCAGAATGTCCTGAATGGTGGCTGATGTGGGATCGATGTGCTGCTGGGCGCTCCATCGACAGAACGCCTGCCATGACGACTCGTAGATACGGGTCGTAGCTGGACGTCTGGCCGCCTGGATAGTGGCAACCACCTCATCTGGTAGGCTGTCCTTCTTCAAGATGACCCGTTCAAGTGCCAGACGGCTAATTGGAGCCACTGGGGCTCTGGGTGCGTGACTGCTCCCTGGCACAGGACGAGCTGCTGTGGTGGGATCAGCCATGGCTGTTCTACGGACAGTGCTACAAGGTCGGCGAACCAGGGTCTCCGGGGCCAGTTCGGGGCTACCAGGAGTAGGTCGGCTTTTTCTGCCAGTAGCTTCCGAATGACTCGCGGGAGGAGCGGGACTGGTGGGAATGCGTACAAGAGGCCCTTGGGCCACCTGCATCGTAGCGCATCGTGGTCCTCCGCTTGTGGTGTCGGGTAGCGTGACACGAAGCGGGGAAGCTGAGCGTTGGTCGGGGTTGTGAATAGATCTACGACCGGGTTGCCGAATCGTGAAGTGAGTTCTTGAAACAGGTGAGGGTGGAGCTGCCATTCCGCTTGATCTATTGTTTCGCGGCTGAGCCAGTCCGCCCTCACATTGGTTGCCCCGGAAATGTGATCTGCTCTGATCGAGAGCAGGTGTTTCTCTGCCCAGCTGAACAGCTCCGCGGATTCCATCATCAGGGCACGGGACTTCGTGCCCCCCTCCCTGTTGACGTGTGCCTTGGCCGAGATGTTGTCGGTCAGGATTAGGACGTGATGCCCCTGCACCGTCGTCTGGAAGTTGCGGAGCGCCAAGCTGATCGCTCGAAGCTCTAGGAGGTTGATGCTGCATTGTCGTTCTTCTTGCGACCACTGACCTTGTGTGACTAGGTTGTGGAGATGGGCTCCCCACCCCCGAAGGCTGGCGTCGGTGGTGAGTATCAGACGGTCTGGCTCTAGGAAGCTGGAGCCCTTGAGGAGCGACGGTGACGTCCACCACCCGAGGGACCTGCGGACCTGTGGAGTGAGGCGAACCTCCTTCTTGGAGTTGGCCCTTCCCGTTCGCTGGAAAGGAAGGAGGAACCACTGCAGGGGTCTCGAGTGTCTGCGTGCCCACGGTACGATGCCGAAGCAGGATACCATCTTCCCGAGGAGGGTTGAGAGGTGAATCAGAGAAACTTTCCTCCTCGTCAGGCACTGCCGTGTTAGGGTTCGGATGCTTTGGACTCTGTCCGGTGATAAGAATACCTGGCCGCTGGCCGAATCTATCTGTGCCCCCAGGTGAAGGAGTCTGGTGGTGGGCAGGAGCTGACTCTTTGTAAAGTTTATGGTGAAGCCGTGATCTTGGAAGACCTTGATCACCATCTCCATGTCTTTGTAAGCTTGGTCGGGCGTGGACGACAGGACCAGAATGTCGTCCAGATAGCATAGCACCCGGATCGGGACGGCCCGGAGTCTGGCCGCCACCACCGCTACCAGCTTGGTAAAGGTGCGCGGGGCCGAGGAAAGTCCGAATGGCATCGCGCAATATTGGTAGTGACTGCCCGCGTATGCGAACCTCAGGTACTGCCGGTGAAGCGGGTGAATCGGCACGTGCAGATAAGCCTCCCGGAGGTCGACTGATTGAAGGAAGTCGCCCTGTCTCACTCCCGCAAGGATGGTCTTGAGGGAGTGCATCTTGAACCTGTGGTATTGTACCGACAGGTTCAGGCGCTTTAAATTCAGTATGCCCCTCCAGCCTCCGGAATTCTTGGGTACCAAGAAGAGGGTCGAGTAGAATCCTGAGCCCCGCTGGCTGTGCGGAACAGGCTCTATGGCCTCGACCTCCAGAAGGTGGGCGATCTCCTGCGACATCAGGTCCTGAAGTTCCGAGGATCGAGGGGTTGGACAACTGACAAACCGGTGGGGCGGCTGGCCGGAGAATTCGATGGACAGACCTAAAGAGGTCGTACGCCTTACCCAGGAGTCCGAGGTCGATTTGGCCCATTGTTGATGGAAGAGGATGAGCCGTCCCCCTATGGGCCCCGAGGGCCTGGAGTCATTTTCCCCTTCTGGCGGGCTTAGGGCCGGCTCCGCGGAAGTTGCGTTTGGGCTGTTGGTGTCTTCCTCGGTCTCGGAACTGTTGTCTGTCGTTAAATCTGTCTCCCCCTTGGTAATGGGGGCGGTGCGAGGAGGACCCCCTGGGTCCGGCGCCTGCACGAAAGGGCTGATGGAGCGGGTAAGGTGTGTACCTGCGCTCCTGGCGCCTGTAGGTTGATGGGAGGATCTTCCTCTTGTCCTTCCCTTCAATGAGTAGGGGTTCCAGCGATGCACCAAACAGATCTGGTGCTTTATATGAGGAAGCCGCCAGCTTCCATTTGGCCTTGAAGTCGGCTTTCCAAGGCCGAAGCCAGAATAGTCTCCTAGCTGTAAGGGTAGAAGCCAGCGCCCTTGAGGCGAACTTGGCTGAATTCAGGGAGCTGTCAGCGGTGTATTCGGTGGCAGCTATTATCTTATTCAGATCCTGATGTAGTCTAGTGTCCTCAGGAGGGAGCCTGTCTTGCAGGTGCCGAAGCCAAATAAGCGAGGCTCTGTTGAAGAAGGACGAGGCTGTCGCGGATCTGATTGCCCAGCCAACGGCCTGGTGCGCCTTGCGGAAGGCCCATTCCATCCTCTTTTCCTCTGCCTTGAGCGAGT